TGACAGCCAGACTGTAACATCCATCTTTTCAGATGTCGAGTACATTCATTTAGTGTTGCTCCATCACTCGATTTCTGAAATGAATACAGTTTATATTGATTTAAGTATCTCTTCTCATGGTGTAGCACCATATGGTCAGCCAAATTGGCCAGTGCAATAATATCTTGGAGTCCAGATATTACCCCGAACACGAGTATGTCGGTTGCAAGGTATGGAGCTTGAGGATCTAGGAGGGTGGTTTTAGGGAATTACAAATAACATGGCCACTCTATTGAGTCTCTATGACTGAACGACTATTGGTAATTATCTCACAGCCTCTACAACTACCATTTTCAATTATCATAATATACACTTTGGATAGCACCTTTTAATCCATACTCGTTGATCCGGACCTTTTAGTATAAAATCTTAAAAAGATGAATCAGTTATAGCTCAATGAAACGATCATGGATGTACCTCCTTTCAATTCTATTTAATTCAATAAATAAATAAATCAACGTGTGAGAACATGAATTTGCCCAGAAATGCTGTTTCAATTAGTTAGCTAATCAAACAGATTAATTCTTCTTCTATCAATGAGCACTTACTATAACATATATGGTTGATTATTATTGTGTAAAAATTGGCTGTTCTACTTTGATAATTCTAATCTTAGTACTAATTCTGATTCTTTGGAAGAGTCCAATAAAGATGCTATTCAGGTATTTTATTAGGTCTATTTTAATCATACAATCAGCTCAGAAATATTCGCAGCTATTTTAATACAGCTAGCTACCCAAACGCATTTTTCACCACTAGAATCCACTAAAACGCAGACCGGTTCCGCAAGTCAAAGATCTTCCTTTCAATTTCCTTGGGGGTTCTGTCCAATGCCGCAGCGATCTTCACACGAGCTGCTCCGTTCAACTCGTAGTACTTCTCGACCATATCACCGTCGATCACGTTCTTGACGGGGTTGTAATAGCCCCGGAACTTCAAGTGGTCCTTGCCCAACAAGTTGTATCCCGCGTGATCCGGCTCCATGTCTGGGTTGAAGTTGTAGTCGAAGTGCTTTCTCAATTGGTCCTCCAACTTGGCCATCAACTCTACTTCTGGCTTAGTTGCCAACGGCATCAACACACCTATGGTGCCCTGCAACCCTGTGTAGAACACGCTCTCGTGGCCTCCCACCACAAGTGAACCCTTGATAAACGATGTGGCAATGTCTCCCACATGGAACTCACACTGGTTTGTCAACCGTGCTGGTGCTCCACTAAGAAATCCGTCCTGGCCCTTGACGAGCGTCCAGTCGTTGTCACTGCGTGCTGACACATCTCGAGGCACTCTTGACACCCAGATGTTGCAGTACTTATCACCACCCACGATGGTGTCGTAGTCCAAGGTCTGTATGGCTGTAGCCTGACGTTTCATCACGTCGTCCACGAACACTACGAACCTATTCTCGCTAGCATCATACTTGGCAAACGTAGTGGAGAGCCTGGCGTCTGTGAGCACGATCCGGTTGTTTCCCTGGCTCATGAGCTTCTGGATAGAGGTGATGTACTCGAGCTTGGTGGACGATTTTCGCAAAAGTTGCTTCTGGCCCAAGTCGTAGAGCCTCAAGTGACTTCCCAGACCCACCAAGAGCTTGCCATTAAATGCTAGGAGGGCGTTTGGAGCGTCCTCGACCTCGGTCTTGTGTAGAAAGCGGAGCTTGTTTGGCAAACCCTTCTTCTTGAGAATGCGATACACGTAAAGGTAGCTGTTATCGTGAGAGTTGGGCAAGAAACGTTGGTTGGTGGTGATACCCACCACCAAGAACTCGTTTCCTTTGGGAGAACCTGTGAAGTGGAGCTTTTCCATAGAGAGAATGGAGTCTGTGGATGCGAGCTCGACCGTCTGGACGATGTGGTGGGAGGAGGTGTAGTCCACCACTTGGATGCAAGAGGCCCAGGAGCCGGTTTGGGGGGAATGCTGCTGTTCATCCGGGTTTTCTGGATCGTCTGGGTTGTCTGTTTCTTCTGATTTTAAGGATTTCGATGATTTTGACGATTCTGTTGCTTCAGTTACTTCTAGGTCTTCTGGCTGTTCTGAATTTTCTTGCTCTTCTTGCTGCTCAGATTCTGCTTCTCCAAACCTCTCCTTCCGCCCGTACTCGCTCTGGGCCACATAAATACTCACATTTTTAATCTTCTCGTCTCGATCAACTATCATCCTCCGAGGAAAGTACCGGAGCCTCAACTTCTCGACATTGAAGTCCTGGGACGGATCGAACCCAGACTCCTCGTCGCCAATGCTGAAGATCACCAACTCGTTACCAGAAAGTCCCACGATTCCTTCGCCTCCAATATCCTCAGAAATAAACGAAGATCCAGTACTAATCCCAATGTTGAGCAATGGAGACAATTTAAAGTCTCCCGATGCCTGGTACCCCACCCAGGGACTGGACGACACTGCAAGCAACGAGCTTGCGTTGTTGATGGTGGAGAGTTGGACGGGTTTGGTGCCCAAATATTTAATTCTGGTGTCGCTCAACGTTCCTGTGATGGGATCAATGGTGGTACGCACGTACACTCCGTTTTCCATGCCAATATGGACGTAGGTGCTGTGGGGACCCGACCTCAACATCACCAACGACACGCTCCTGGATGAGAGTGCCTGCAACGACACGATTTCGAGGCAGTTGTGCACTTGTAGCGACACCACCTGGATGGTTTCGTCCAAGCATCCCACCACTGCGAACGAGCTCTTGCGGAACTCGTTGGAACTAGACGCAATTGCCAATGAGGTGATGGGGCTAGTGACCTCGAGCCTCTCCTGATACTCGACCAACTGGTCGTCGTGGGGATCCACCTCGAAGTAGCATATTTCTCCGTTGGACAAGCCAATGACTACCTGCTCATTATTGGTGCTAGTGTGGCTAATCTGGATTCCTGCGGGAGGAAACCAGTCTGAGGTCGTCTTGGACCCGTCAGTGCCTTGTCTTATGTGCTTGATACCGTTAGAATACACCTGGACGACCGAGGAGTTTCCCACCTGCTGGACCGCAAGTGTGGCCTGGTCTATGACAAATAACGAGTCCTCCACTTCCTCTACAACTTCACCTATGGAAAGCACTAATGTCTTGGAGTCCTGCAGTGACGAGAGCACTAAGTACGCGTCGTTGGCGGCATCTCGCGTTAGTTTGGTGGTGTATATCTGATTGGGAGTCATGGGTAAAGGCGAGGAAACCAACAAATTAGTGGGAATTCCGTGGGTCAAGGTCTTCAAATAGCAGCTGGACGACAAAGTCACGAGCTGGTTGATTGGAGTGGTTGAGGAATGGGTGGTCTGAATCATTTCGGCCTGTATGATGGGGCACAAGTTATCTAACGAGTCGATTAATGCTAAATTTTCGAGCGGTTTCCTTTGAAACTGGTGGCTCGTGGGGTCAGGAATTTCGTCCATTGCGTGGACCTGGTGAAATATCGACGACTCGTCGACGTCGTCCCCCAATTTCTCGAATTGGTAGAACTGCTTGTCGTTGTTGATGACGTTGGCAAACAAAAACCCACTCTTGAACACGTTCAAAGACGTGCATGCGGGGATGGTGTCGAAGTAGCTGACCTTGATATCATCTATCACCTCTCGGTCGTCGTCGTAATCGACTGTTACCTTGAATAAGTCACCCAAAGTGCTCTGCAACAACACAAAAAAATCGTTCTTTTTCAACCGGTGAGTTACGTGCAGCGTTATCACCGTCGAAGTAGCTCCCTGTCTGGTGGGCAACGGTATGTATGCCCTGGTGGCTTTGGTGGGGTTGGCGTAGATCAAGTAGCTATCGCAGCACACCAAAACCCCACGAATATGGCCAGGCAAGGGCACAAGATGGGTTGCTGACGCGGGAAGGGACATACTGGCTTTCTTCTTGACGACGTGATTGAGTCCCTGGTCGAGCTCGTAGTAATTGAGGTGCAAAGGCGAGCTTTGGGGGTCATACGCCTTTTTGGCTGAATACTCGGAATGGTCACATTCGATGGCCGCAAACACGGGATTGTCAAACTCTGTGTCTAGAGCAGTGATAGAAAGCGTAAGCACGTTTTTGGAGGAGGCCTCGAGTGGTGCAGACACCTCCAAGAGTCCTCGTGGCGACGCCTGAATTTTGTAGATGAGTTTGTTCTTCTCCAAGGCAGAGAGGCAGATTGCACGGCCTTGGGGGTCAATGGCAAGGTAGGAGCCTTGAGAGAGCCTGTTCTGGCCGCTTTTGCCGTATGTTTGTTGTAGTACTGGCTGGAACTGGAGGGTCTGACGGTTGAACTCGAGGATAGAGAGCTTGCCAGAGTCGCCAGTGATCACCAAAAGATCACGCGACTGTCCCACGGCCCTGATCTTATCGATTCTCGCTATCGTGGCAAACACACACTCGTGTGCCTTTCCCACCGTGGCTAGCTTGCCTGTGTTGAGGTCCGGACTGTAGATTTGGAGGGTAGTATTGTGGGCAATGACTAGTTCTTGGGCCTTTTTGGTGGCTCCTGTGAATTGCCCGAGGCAGGTGTGGAGTCCTGGCGTGGCATGCCGAAGAGTAAGGTTGTATAGATAAAGGGAGTCGTCAGGAATCATTGTGGTGGAAGATGAGATGGCCATTGATTGATAGTGCGCAGTGGTGAAATTTCTAGTGGTGGGGGTAGTGGACGTTACTTGGAGAGTGCTGGGGAACGGGGGTGCCAACGGGGAGATTAGGGAGGTGAGAATGACGGTGGAAAGGTGGGAATATGGGATAATATACCGGGAAATCGGTGGAATGGGATATATTGGTAAAGTTGGCCGTTTCACGTGATGGATCACGTGATACCATCCTTGAGCCAGAAGATGCTAGGATCTTAGGTGACGGCTCGATGGACAGAATAGAGTGTATACACTTGGTGATACGATACATACCGGGTGTTTCCATGTATTAGCGTGTAGAATTTCGCAGCTTGCACCACCACCTACATTTTTCAACTGCCTGACAAGTATAATTTTTCGAAAGTCTCCATTGCTCCCCTTTCATCCAGGTCCTTCTAGCAAGGCCCCCGATTTTCTGTGGTATTGTTCTGTTTCTGCCGTATTGCAGTTCTGTTTTAAACACACCCACTAGATTCAAATATCTCATTATATTATAGATTAAAGAAGGGTTTCGTATTTATGGAGGCTTGGGCACCGGGCGACCACCAATTGCCTTATTATCGAAAAACAATAAAACGCCTGAATCATTCAAATCTATGAAAACAGCCAGCAAAAAATTTATCCTGTCACTCTGGGACATCGGACGCTACTGATCAGATGGCTGCACTTCGAGAGGCTAAGTCTAGAAACGCCAAAATAACAGGTTTCTGGCATGACCATCTTCCCCTGAATCAGCTCCATTCTATTGTGGAGTCGAGAGTCAACGCCATAGTCACTTCACGAAGCTCTCCATTCGCAGTACTCCTGAAAGGGGACGGCAAGCCGTTCTCGGCATGCGTCGAATTCACTATTCGAAAGTCAACTGCACCGTAAAGCCTGATAAGTAATATGTGCATGTATAACCATGATGTAACATTTGATGCCACTCAACAGCTTATCCTGAATTCCAATGCGGCTCGACACCACGGATAATTGAAGTGAAATTTGACTTCCGAAGGACGGGCTTGAGAAGAGCGTGAATGGTCAACCCAAAATAGTATTTAGCATTTAATTAAACTAAAACAGCCATACTTTACGCACTAGCAATTTGTCATGGCGTACACATTTCCATCTTTCAGTATTACTGTACCTTTTTGCCCTGCAAATCCGTTTCATGCTTATGTACTAGAAAGAGTGATTGGCGCCCATACATAGATAATACCTCAAATTAGGCTTAATTGAAAATTGACTAAAATTGCCTTCTCTGCGTGTCAATAATTCCGAGCCTATACAGCGTAGCCCACAACAACCAGTGATGAACTTCTACAACCTAACATCCTGGCGTACTCAAGTAAGCAACAACTACCCTGAAGTACTCAAGTAAGCGACAACTTGTCCTATTTTGTAGTAAATTTTTCACTTTCAGGTGTCATCCTTGACACATCACGTGAAAAACTTTAATTGTACAACTCCAACCAATCAGTGTCAATTCAGTTGCCAAATTGGCAGTTCCGGTCGCCTTTCCTACCTGTGCACCTTGTTGGTTCGAGACACTTACGCGTTCGTACAGCTCGCACGCTTCCAGTGGTGTGAGTGTCGGTTAAACCTTCCTGGTGCCAGCTTGAAGTTTCACCTAAAAAGAGGGGTAGGCGCGATGGGCCACCCACAGGTGCCGCAAAAGACCACATAAGGCTAAATTTATGTTTTGAGTAGGCCAGAGCGCAAAAATTCAGAATGGGAACAAAACCAAATTAATGGCTACCATCTCCAGAATTGCCAAGCATACCCACATCCACCGCCTTTAACGAGCCGTCCAAAGCACCGTCGCCTATGCTGGGCATTTCTGGTTTTTCTTGCCTGTCGCATCCATTCTATCTTCAATGCAACATGCCCAGATGCAACACCGGGGACTTTGTGGGGTGTGGGGTCTGCAGGATCAGCTAGGGCCAGGCTCATCGCATCTACTGACAAGTTGATTATTACCAGAGACTGGATATCAATTTTTGATCACGAAGTTGCCATCAGTCATCTACATCCTTCAACGCTCGCGTTTATTACACATTATCGTAGCTATTAAACCTTCTCATCGTTAGGCAAATTGGAGCCCACAGTGGACTTGACGGATCTCAACTCATCAGCATCGAAGATGTTCTCCATACCATCATCTTCAAGTTCGGTATGGTCGGTGATCTTGAATAAAATTAATGGGGCTGCAATTAAAAGCGATCCCTGGACCAAACCCCACGATGAACCAAACATAGCCATGTACAGGTGTCCCATGGCATCAAGTCTCCAGGCAATAGCAGCAGCAGCAGACTGGATACCCTTGTAGAAACCACCGTAGAGAGCAGTCTTCTTGGGGTTGTTGGACATGGCACCCAAGGTCCACAAAATGAAATTCTGGAAAATGGCATCGTAGACTCCGTAGAACATGTACAAGAACATGGGGCCAATGTATTTGCCCTCCTTGTAGTCGATGGGAGCAAGACGGGCAGGAGTGATGGTTCCATCAGCGTGCTTGATAGGGGTAACGTCTTCCCTAGTGAATCCCAATTGGAACTTCAAACCTCCACCCCAGATAGCCATTCCGGTGAGAAACACAATAACCCATCCGATCTTGGCTCTGACGGATCTTCTGTATCTTCCCATGTCAAGAACGGTACCGATGGCAACGGCACCCACCATCTGGGAGAACCAGTAAAGTAACGAGTTCAAGGATCTGGTTCTAAGGTTGAATCTTCCGGCGTTGAATTCGTTGAACTGGTAGGTGTAGAACCAGTTGGAAGAGAAGAACATTGGGAACAAGAAGTAGATCTTTGGTTCTTTGATCAACAATCTACCCATGTCCATCAACTCCTTCTTCCAGTTGGGGTGGGCCTTGGTCATGACTCTGGTTCCGTCGGCCTTCCACACCTTGGAGATAGGCAACATGAAGAAGGCAATCACCGATCCGAGGCACATCAAGATGATGAATGCAATGTAGGTACCGTCGTTGACGAACGAGTTCTTATTTTCCAAGTTGTTGGCCAAAGGAATGATGGAACCGATCACGGCACCAAGGTTGAAAATGACCCAGAAAACCATAAGGGCTCTACCCTTCTGGCCTTCTGCGGGATACGACATGATGATGGAGCCCTGGGCAGCCCACAACACGGAGGCACACACACCCAAGAAAGCACCTGCGAAAATGACGAAGCCTTTGTTCTCAGTGTGGTAGTAGCAAAGCAAGGAGGCCGAGTAGAGGGCATAACCGATTCCTCCAAAGATGAGAGAGGCTCTGACACCGATGGTGTTACAGATGGTACCACCAAAGAACCCGATGGTAGCAAAGGTGGAGTAAAGAGCCACCACTGAGTTGTCGGAGGTCTTGACGTCCTTGATGGAGGCACCAATTCCCGACAACGCATTGTACATTCCGGGAGTCATGAAAACCACAAACGACAACATCACCACCTGGGTCATGGAGTCAGAGAAACGGAAACCTGCGCCAAACACCCGGAACTTCTTGTCGTACCATTTGCCCAGCGACTCGATTTCGGCAGAGGAGTGCTGGCGGAGCTCGAGGTGGCCATCGCCAAGGTCGGCCCCAGAGAGGTCGTTGGAGGAGTTGGTGTCGACTTCCACCTGTGGAGGAACTTTATCTTCAGACATGGGGCTGTTGGATGAGGAGCACCATCTGGCGAATATGGCTGCTTTTATAATTGTAGCTGCGCGGAGAGGGCCCTGGCAGGTATTGCTTACATAACCCGATCCACTTATCAGCTCTCAGGTGGACGAGGTTGCACGGCATCGAGTGGGGCTCTGGCTGGTGTTGCGGCCAGAGGCCCCGCTAGAGAAATTGCCCCATTGGTGCAGGCAATTTGTCGTAAACCGGCAGGCGTTAGCGGGGCTGACGGACTGGGGAGAGTGTAACATAGGAAGGTTGCATTGAATTTTGTGCGACGTTGCGTGGGACGGGATGGGACATGGGAATGGTAGTAGTAGTGGGAAAGTAGTAAATAGTGATGTGGTGACACTAAATAGTGGTGGAAAAGGTATGTGATAGTGGACAGTGGTGGTAGACAGTAGGGTCAGTCTGGATCAGCAGTGCTAGTGGTGGTGCTCATCATGGCGACAGCGAACGCTGCGCTGGAAACTGCCTCGCTAAGGGCTCCTGGCAAGAGTGGTCCCGCACGTGAGGGTATTTCATCTGGTGCCTGGCACGCGACACCTGCCTGCAACATGCTTATCTCTGGCGTGCACAAATAGGTTGCACGCCTGAGACCGCCAGATCGATCCTGGGCGAGTGCAACGTCTGGTGATAAGCAGGTTGTGACGGATAAGCTGGTAAGCGTGGTGATGGCGAGACCGTGATAAGCATGGAGTAGTAGTGGTGGTGTAAGCGTGGAGGTAGTGTTGGTGGTGCAAGCGATAAGACCTTTGCATGCGAGATCGAAACACAATAATTAATTTATTATCAGATCTCGAGGATCAAGTAAATAATGGCTGGCTGCGTCGCATCTTTAGTCTATCACCTCGATGATGGATAGGTTGTGCAACTCAATACGTACACAGTCAAGCAACTGGTAGTACCTGTTTTGACCATTTTTTCCCAGTTATTGAATTTTAAAGTTTACAAGAGGGTTCACCCTGAACCTGGACGTGATGTGCTCCAGTTGTCCACAATGGACTAAACAAGAGGCCCACCTAGGTTACTCCCATCTTTTAGGAGGTCCGAGGTGTACATGCTGGTGTTCTGTAGGAAGAGACCCTGGATTATTCAAAAAACCACTACAAGGAAGGATACAATGTTCTATGGCGATGTACTGTAGTGGAATCCGGAGTAGTTCATGGGATATTGTAAGAGATGAGCTCCAATTGTCTAGATAGTGAGATTATTGCAGTCCACCAGAATTTGGAAGATCCACTTCTGCATTCTTCTACTGTGCAAAGGGACCATATTCTGAGGGAAGTGAGATCATCCTGATCGTGATGTCATGGTGGACTACTAGCGCAGAAGTCAGATCCTTGATGGTCAAGGAAGTGATGAGTATAAAGAATTGCCGCAAAGTCAGCCGGACAGGGTTTTTCCGGTGGCTATGTGTTCATAGTGGGGCGCGATAGTTCCGATAAGAAAACGCAGGTGCCTGGCTCCTTGACCAGTGCGTCCAGGGCAATAATGCGGATTCATTAGAAATGCATGGGTTTGACCCCAATTGTAGCTGCTCTGGATGCGTGAATTACAATTGCATCTAAAACATATAACAGGAAGTCATGAATTTATGAAATGAATTAGACTTTAAAACCCGTTGTTAACCGCATATTCTCGATATCTCCGTCTAAATTGATTGTAGCCACTTTATGTAATGCATTATCGCTTATCGGACTTGTAAGTAATTATATTATCTGCGGGTTGCTGCCACTCATTCATCTTAGTCCCCTTCAATCTGACTAGCAATTCCTGTATGAAATCAATCAATTCATTATTGATCCTTCTGTTGGCTATAAAGCGAATATCTGTAGCCCAACTACACTTCACAGTGTAGTTAGTTGACTTTTACGCTTGACATATTTACATTTTTTTGATTATAATTCAAGAAATTTAAATTGGCTCACTTTCCCAAAATATCTCCAACTCTAATCTTTGGCTACCAGAACCTGATAATCGCTAGAGCTCTCTTTCATGGTCCTGAACTCCCATTCCATCTGGCGCAGGCACTCCAGCTGACTGTCGATAGTCAATACTGTTAAAATTTCAGTGGCCTCACTCTCTTCCCAGCACTCACAATTCCTAAAAAATATGGTCACTTGCATATTCTACATCGATTTCTCATTTAAATCCTCGTTCTAATCATATAATATATCTATTTAATCGCATTCTAACCATTATTTTCTAATCTATTTTTTACTGGCCTTCAACTGTTCTCCTGCCTCAATAATTCCGGCAATCAACTCGTCCACCACTCTGTCAGTTAAGATGGGCGAGTTGAAAACAACTCTGAAGAATTCACCTCTGTCTTCGCCTCCCTTCTTGGATTGTGGTCGAGGCGAAAAGTCCACCAAGAATTTTCCGCTGCTGTGCAACTCTCTGGAAACGTATCTGGTGACCTCAGTGTTTGGGATTCCACTGATCTTGTGGTAGAAGCAGACTTGCAAACACTGTGGGATTCCAGGAACCACTAACTCGAATCTGTCGTCCTTGGAGATCTTGGAGACAAAGTCCTCGCCAATGGCGAATGCGTGGTCGACTCTTTCTTCGAAGCCCTTTTGGCCGTAGTACAACCAGGCCATGTAGAACTTGAAGGCGTCGGGACGACGACCACATCCCATGGTTCCGTCAGCCAAGTCGTAGTTTTCACGCTCGCCTTCTGGCTCCTCGGAGCCCTCTCTTCCATGGAATAAGTATGGCGCATTGAGTGACATGGATCTCTGGAAATCGCTGACCTTAGGGATCAACAAGAATGAGCAAGTGTTGGGCACTCCCAACATCTTGTGGGGGTTGACAGTGATGGAGTCAGCGTATTCGCTTCCAGCCATCTTGACTCCGTGCTTCTTGGAGAAGATGACGTTTCCTCCCCAACTTCCGTCGATGTGCAAGTGGCAGTTGTGTGCACGAGCGACCTTGGAGATGGCAGTGAAGTCGTCGTAGGACCCAAACACGGTGGTACCAGCAGTAGCATTGATGTACAAAGGAGTGTAGCCTTGAGCCTTGGTTTCCTCGACCACCTTTGCCAACTCCTCCACGTTCATGGAGCCGTCGCCATGTGTGGCCACCTTGAAGACTTGTTTCAGGCCCAATCCTAACAAGATGGCCGATTTTTCCACAGAGTAGTGGCTGTGCTCCGAGGTGTAGATAGCAAACTTGTACTTGCCATTGCCCTCGTCTTTGGTGTCAGGGTATCTCAGGGACCTGGCCATGTGCATTGACGTGATGTTGGAGTACGAACCTCCTGGGAAGGTGAGGCCTCCGCAGGTGGCACTGCCGTTGAAGAAGAGCTGAGCGTACTTTCTGCCAATGTAGTTCTCGATGACTGAGAACACAGGCGAAACGGTGTAAACGTGGGAGTTGGTGTTGAGAATACTCAACAACAAGTCGGAGACCACACCAATAGGGTTGTTGGACGCGTAGAGCTTGTCCAAGAAGCCTGGGTGCCAGGTGTTGACTGAGTATTGCAACACTCTGTCAATAACCTCGAAGATCTCGCCGTCTCCTCTGACTCCCTTGTCCATGTCTTCGGCAAAGAACAGCTGCTTGAGCTGAGAGGGGACGTGGTAGGTTCCCAATCCGTTGGCCTGGTACTGCTCCGAGGATAAGTCGCTCTTCTGGATGTACTCAATGAGCTTGGGCTTGAGGGTGGTGAGCAACTCGTCGAGCTCTTGGACGCGGTTGGATTCCAACAGGGAATGGACCATGGTGCTGTAAGGGTATTTCTGGACTGTCTGGGTGTCGTAGGCAAATCTGAATCAACAAATCTGGCTTGGGGGACTATGGATCAATTCTGTGGTTGGAGCCATATAACCGAGCTGAAAATTCCCGGTCGTGCCGCGACCAATTCCGGGGTCTGGCACCTCCCTCCTGCCAGGCCGGGTAGCTCTATTAGTCAGAAAGAAAGGTGATTTCGAGTCATCCTAGGGCACAGTCTGCGTGCGTGCGTTCGTGCCTTCAGTAGCCGGCAATGCGTGCTGCTGTAACCGAGGCAGGTTGCCCTGGATCCGCGCTACCAGCCGACTCCACAACCGGGCCCCAGCGCTACCACACGCAACCATGTAAACCATTTTGAGGTTTAGTTGCGTCATACAGGCACGTTTTAGCCAGCATAATATTAGTGTTCCAGGAATCTCATTTCGCAACCATACGTGTAGATTTCCAAGACCCAACCATTTTTTAAGACCCGACCTAGTAAGATTGACGATGCCTAGTAATACACTAAAGTTGTAAATTTCCGATTCGGTCCAACGAGTCCAACGATACTTCTAGAGGGGCTCCTCCAAGCGTCGTAAAATGCACAACTTAATTCCGGAACTACTTCAATGAGTAAGTAAATGTTTAGATTTATTTCCAGGACTCCAAGGCACAAATGAATCTTAGAGTTACTCCACTGAACGTAGTAAATTCCGATTTCAGGGCACAAGTACACTCAATTCTAAAACCTGCCACAATGAAAGTAATAAATTTACATTTGCAAGCCCATAATACTAAACCCAAACCTGCTCCAATAGCAAGTGACATTTTTTATCAGGGATTTCGGTCGTCATTAGAGGGATGAGTGAACTGCACTGCTATCTACACTTAAATGTCTATCCCATGAAGTAAATCAGCTAAAAGGCAAGTCGCAAACCATACATTTAAAAAAAACGAGACATAATTCTCACTCTTACATAGTGAGGAATGGCAAAAGTTAGTACCATGGTTATTTTCCACCAATACCACCTTTGGCTGTATCACAGAAAATGCACTCGAAGTAACTAAGGATGCCTGCAAAGCGTAGTGGATTAGACATTGTGCACTAGTAACGAGGTGTTTCGAAACTCACCACACCAGCTACAGCACTTGCTAGTACTGTAACGGGTATCACCACAAAGTGAGTGTTTTTCCCACTAATTCCTGCACCGGTGGTGGAATCAGACTGGGGATGCCATACATCTCCATCTTAATCATTCTTAGCTCAAATTAGTCCAATTACCCCACAACTCCCCAATTCTCCAGAGTTCCAGCTTCCAAATTGCCTTTCCTGACTGTAAACTGTTGCATCAGTTGCACCCAACACCAAGAGTCACGCTCCCAGTCATACCATGATGCCCAGCCCATAACCCCAGTGCCCAAGGCCCCAAGACGCGTCCCAATACTACCTCGACCCCATGGGGACCCCATGGGGTCTATTTCTCGTACCATGCAACCTCGAGGTTACATGGTAGGTCCGCGCTACCAGCCAGCGTTTCTAATTAGTGTATCACTAAGCTATTCCTGTAGAGGTGTGCAACCACGACCCCCGCACGCCAGTGACTCGGACGTCAGCTGAGAGGGTCCGGATGGCCCTGAGTTAGTGGGGGAGGGTGGGCATGTTACCCCAGAGTTCCCCAACGTAACAGTGCGTTGGATACAGGAGGGTGCCACTGCGGGTGCAGGACCAGGTTACATCGGAGGTTGAGGTTGCACTGTCGGAAACGGTTATATACGAGGGGAGTGTGGGGTTCGATCTGGTCACAGCCTCGGTACGGCAGGGCTTAGCGAGACTAGCGGCAGGTGTTCAGTCAGCAATAAATGGCACTCAGCTCGCAATGAGTACCAGAGGGTCTTGGCCCATGGTTGCAATCCAGTGGAGGCTAATGTGGATTTTCTGGATTTTCTGGGTCGATCTGACCATCGGGAGATGGTTACATCAAGAGCCGGATTGATTAATCTCGTTCCTACATTTTTTTGTTTTGTATTGTTACCATCGGTTATGGTGAAAGCCGTGTAACTAATGCTTTTAGTCCCACATTTGAACTGTCTGGGAACTGCAAACTACGGCATTAGTGCTCAATTGCCGCCTCTTGGGTATTATTTCAAGTGGTGTAGTGTTCTTTTCTCGATTTCGTGCCAACTCTGGTTCAGAGTCTTCATTGTGGTAAGGATTTCATTTGTGTAGACACTGTCCGTAGAGACGCAGAACTCTATTCAGCATTCTACTTGATCTTCGAGTGCCACACGAAAAGGCATTAATTATGTGAATTGATAGTGGACAAGTACCAGTCTAGCGAGAACTGAAGATATCTATCGATTACTGGGTTTTGAATTCAGACTACTCAGATACTAGTTATTGAATTCAGATGGCCTGTGAATAATTGAATTCAGACTCTAGTTATTAAATTCAGATTATTGTCACGGGTCTTGCCAGTTATAGGCGTCAGAGTCCACAAGTTATTGAATTATATTCGGCCCGTTGCTGAATTATCGTTAAATACAGAATACCTTTTTTTGAATTCAAACCCACGTCATTGACTTCAGTGTACTCAAGATTATCAGTTACGTAGGATAAACTAAACTACGATGCCTGCAAATCCTACTGGAACTCAATTGTATGCCACCTGTAGCTCATAGGCTCAGTCTTAATTTCGATTTCGTGGTAATTCATTCTATTTACATATATACATCTCCTGTCAATCAGGACGAATAATACCAGGTATTTCATACGGAACACTGGTAACAATCAAGCCACCAAACGTTTTGCACTTCCTCCTCAATACTCTGCTTCTACTCAGCTCAAGCAGCGGGCTCGGCACCCATTTTGGCACGCTCCTCGGCCTCCGCCAACTGTCTCTGTTTCGACAAGTTTCTGTTCAACACGTCCAATTTCCTCATTTCTTCCTCGGCGTTGTAGTTGCCAGTGGACAAGTTGTCGTAGGTCTCATCGTACTTTCCGGTGGACAAGGGAGCGTTGCCTCGCATTCTCTTTCTCATGTCGAACATACCGTTTTTGCACTCCATGAACGCCTTGAGATTGGCCACACAGAGTTCAGGCAACTCGCGCTTCAATACTGGATCCGTCAAGCACTTCTTGGGGGTGTTGCGGTCGAGCAACACGCATGGTGATCTCTGGAGGCAAATGGCTAACGCCTTTTTCTGATCCTTGCAACTGGGGGTTAGTAGGGTTGGAAAAGCAGGGGTGGTCGGTGGATAGTCAGTGGAGAGCCGGGGGATAGTCATCATGGGAGTTTCCTTGTAACTATGGATAATGCAAGTAGTCAAATGGATGATCCAGAGTAGAAACTATGGACAGTTACTAGATAGTAAGGATGGTAACTGATAGTCACTCTGGATTTCACTATGAATACCACTATGAATACCTTGATGATTTTCACTATGGATAGTAACCATTCCCAGACAATCTATGGATGTTTCCGTGTGACTGGACAGTGATTGTGGATATCACTAGGGCTCGTAACTTGATAATACCTGGTTGATCGCTAGTCTGGTAGTCTCTGTGGCTGGCGTAGTCACAGATATAACGATGGCTAGTGACTATGGCTAGTAACTACCATTTGCGGTTCTGACTCTCAGCGGATGTTTCCAAAAAAGAACGTCCGATATCCCCACGCTATTATACCCACTGATGGCTCCTGATAGAACCTGCCGGCCCCTAATGGCCCCTAACGATACATACCTGGCTCCCATGGTGATGTAGATATGGCCCCATCACGTGGATCTTCTGACCATCAAAATGTTAGAATTTAGATTCTGTGTGCAGGTGTACTTTTGCTCTTTGAGAAGAAGACTATTATATGTAAATATTTATTTAATAATATTGTAACACACAATCTAATACTATTTGGCACACCCATAAATCTCTGGGATTTACTGCTTAATTTATACTAATTTTAATCTCTTTCATCGGATCCGTACGGGAGTATTTTCACCCGTTCTTTCCGTCTCTGTTTTCAGTTGAGCGATTACTTTCGTTCTTTTTGGTAATTGCTCAGCTGGATTCGTTCATTCTGTCTTGGCCTGTTTCATCTTAAGCTTTTGCCGTATGAATGACAATGGTTGTTGTCCTGTTAACATCATGATGTAAGCTCGTCTTATTTTCAACTTTGCTANAGCGGAATTTTATGTCGTATTTCATCAATGTCGCGTTTCTCATAATGTCGTTAGAATTATGATGTCGCGCCATAATGTCGCTTAGGACGTATGTTCCAACACAAAACCCGTCTGGCACTGTGTGCAGGCCGCTTTCATCAAGCCATTTCCACGTGATGCCAGCGGCTACCACCCCAACTCTTTCCATGCCACTATGACCATCACGTTCGTGCCTGGAGAAGCCTGCAAGGCCACAACCACTCTCGTTCAGGGCACCTGGAAGTCCCATCATGTGGTCGTCTACGGTTCGGGAAACAATTTGATCATTTCAGTTGGCAGCTCCTCCTCCAACCAGCCCCGCCATTTGCAGACAATATACCTCCCAGCTGACCCCAGAGCTATTGCTATCAATGCCCACGGAGTCATTGCCGTAGCTGTGCTCCGCAAAATCGTCGTTTTTACCCCGAATCACTACGTTTCAAGGCCCCAATGGGTGCACTCGCTTGAAGTGGATCACGACTCGGAGCCCACTGCGTTGCAGTGGGCTGTTCTGGAGGACGAATTGGCAGTGGGGTCGCTCGCATCAGTGTCATTGTACTCCTTGTACGAAGAGTACGGAAGGAACTATTTGGTACAAAGATGGAACGTTCAGCAGGCCAACCCTGTGACTCTGATCTGGATCGCCAGAAAGGCAGACAAAATCTTGACCACCAGTGGCAGCTACGATCGCTTGGTCAAGGTGTGGACGCGTGTCAGCTACGGCGACAATACCGCGTTTGAGCTTGCATTCTTGGACCATCCCAAGGGCACATTTGTGGTGGACTGCCACCTCCGAGTCCACGACAACAAGCCGGAAACAGGCGCCAAGAGCCTCGATGGCTCGATCGCCAACATCAAGAATATACGTGGATACATCGACACGGACGACGACGACAACCAGATCGTGTACACTGTGTCCAACACCAACGTGTTCCAGGTATGGGCGTCGTTCGAGTACAGCGGACACTCCCATATCCGCTCGTGGGCCCAGATCGACTTGTCGGGGGTTTTTGGCGAGGAAGTTGCATCTGTAGTGGTAGTTGAAAACCATTTTATCCGTGACTACGTCTCACAATACTCGGACCACTGCGACGACCTGGATCTCCTCTTGGTCGTATCCTCCCACGGTAGGGTCGCTGCCTTTACCATTTCGAACATCTCCTACAATCCTCCCAACAATATCAAAATCGAACGCATTGGCGATACCCTCTTCGAGTTTGGCGAAAAAGCGTTTCCCACCCCTCTCCGCCTGTCCCAGCTCCCTGAAGTCCTCCACGACTCCGAGTTCTACAATTCCGAGCAGTTCCTCGTCAACATAAAAAAGCCCATCAGTATCCTGGACATTACTTTGTTGAATCCAGGCTCCACCAAGTCCAAGTTAGCCATTCTCATCCACGACCGCATTAAAAATACAATAAGATTGGACTCCTTCAGCATTGCTCAGTTCTTCGTGCCTAGGGAAAAACTGGCACCGTTTGCAAGCTTGTTAGATAAATTCCAGGGCCACACTAAGTCGATCCGAAAACTTGTCAAATCGTCAGACGACTCCATCCTCCTCTCGATCTCGAACTTTGCATCCCACAACTATGTCTGGGAGCCCATTTTTCTCGATGATTCCAGCACCAGAAGAATGACCATCACCAAAAGATATCGCATCGATGTTAGCATCGATAATGACGAAGACAATGCTATTTTGGACGCACTCATAATCAGTAACGTCAACAGATCACCTGAAACACGACATGTGGTGGTAACTTTGCAGAAGGGTGGGTTTATCAGTTTGTGGGACTGCAATAGCCAGTTTGCCGACCAATCTGCTGGTTTGATCAAGAGACTAAAGGTTGATTCGATTCAAGAGCCCAAAGCGTTCGTCTTGACCGAATTGCCATCTTCCAGCGACCAACGCAACTACTGTGTGGTTGCTATTTATGAAAGCGACCTGGTAGCTTCCTGGAAAATCCTGCTTGAGTACTCGAATGGCCAGGTCCTGAACATTGACATTGCTGCAGTACCAATCGAGCCACTCCCCCAGCAAGAACAGATCCACCAAATCGAAAGCATTGACGTCTTCCTCGCTCAGCCGGAAAAGAACCTCGTATCGGTGATCAATACTGCTGGGTATCTCAGAATCTACGCTTTGGATGCTAGCAAACAGGGAGAGAAACTCAAATGGAAACTCACCTCTGAAATACACACTAACGTGGTCAATGCAAGCAAAATACAAGGCACAGCCGTAATGAACAAATTGGCGATTGTGGATGAGTCTGGCCTCACGCTTACCATATGGGATATCAAGTCTGGGGTTTTGGAGTATCAAGAGACTTTCCCCAAAGAGTATGGCACAGTCCGGGACTTGGACTGGACTTTCATCAATGCAAGCAACGAGAGACATATGTCCAATACCATTTTCTCAGTGGGTTTTGGCAGGTTTGTTTTGTTGTATACACAATTACGTTATGATTACACCAACCACATTCCTACATATGCTGTTTTGAAGAAAATCGACATCTCGGACTACACCACTCATGAAATCGGTGATCTGATCTGGCTCAGCGGTGGCTATCTTGTTATTGGAAGTGGAAATCAATTTTTCATTGATGATAAGTGGGTCAGGCTAGCATCGGAAAAAAACACTGCGATCGATTCGATCATAAGACAATTGATGACAGGGTACACCAAAACGGGTGTATCTTATGATGAAAAGATAGAAGATGATGGTGCTGGTTACCAACGGATTAATAAGTCCACAGACGATTTGATTTATGACATCGGACATTTGGCAAAGATTTTGAATGGCCCTTTGCCAGTGTATCATCCCCAATTTTTGATCCAGTGCCTCTTTATGAATCAGGTCAAGCTTGTACAGGATATTTTGGTGAAGTTGTTTCAAAATATCAGAAAGGGTGAGCACATCTCGTGGGACTTAGGTCTCGATATGGTAGATGAAATATTGAAGTGCCAATTTCTGACCAACCAAGAGCCAATCACTGGTACAAATACCCCCAGGGTAGACTTAGTTCACGAGTCTCTTTCCAACCTGTCTCGGGGATGGGACTTGTTCGACAAATTCAACTCGGAGTTGGCAGATTTGTTAATTGATAAGTTGATGAAGATTTCTCTTCCATTATTGACAAGACACCAACAGAGCACGCTTGTGACCATTGTCACCATTGCCAAGACGTTGAAGAAACATGCTTTGTCGTTGGACAGGAACGGAATCCGGTTTCTCATAGGGTTCAAGTTGTTTCAAATGTCCTCCAAGCAACCTAAACTCTCCATGAGAGATATCAACTGGGCGTTACACAGCGATAACAAGGAAATGCTCTTGAGCTTGGTGGAGGATCATTATAAACACCGTATGACCTGGGATAATGTAAGACAAACCGGGTTGGTTTACTGGGTTGAAACCCCGCGGTTGGTCAAGATCATGGAGGGAGTGGCCAGAAACGAATTTAGTGAAGAAAGAGATCCTTCAGGAAGAGCCTCTTTGATCTACTTGGCGTTGAGGAAGAAACATATTTTGATTGGATTGTGGAAGACCGTGAGCCATCCCGACCAGGCCAAGATGATCAAATTCTTGAATAATGACTTTAACGAGCCCAGATGGAGATCCGCAGCCTTGAAGAATGCATTTGTGTTGCTCGGCAAGCATCGGTACTTGGATGCTGCATGCTTCTTTTTGTTGGGGAATTCAGTCAAGGACTGCTGCCTGACTTTGGCCAACAAGGTCAACGATAGGGCATTGGCGATAGCTGTTTCCAAGATATCGAATGGTGGAGAAGGCGTCGATGTGAGTTTGTTGGGGGTCATCGAGAACTTCATTATTCCAGATTCTATTGAGAGTGGAGATAGATGGACTACCAGCTGGATATTCTGGCAAATGGGCTTGAAAGAATGCTCGATCCAGGCGTTGATCAGAACACCCTTAGAAATTATTAAGGAGAACCGGGAACAGTTTTCTGAGCTATGTAACAAGAATTACATTGACAAAGCCACGGCTTCCGCAAAGGGCCAAAGTTTCTTGAAAGACGACCCTGTGTTGATTATCTTGTTCAATGAGTTGAGGAACCAGAAGATCAACTACTTGAAGGGCTCGTTGACTATCAGTACCCTCGAGGAGTCTCAATTTTTACTCAAGGTGTGTATGATATACACGCGGATGGGTTGTGATTACCTTTCCATTTTATTGCTCAAGAACTGGACTTTCAATCATGGTGCTGGAACGATGAGTGAATGGAACGAGCGAAAGACTGTCTTCCAGAGGGAAGAGACTGTTCGCCAGAAGAAGGTCAAACAAGAGAAGGAAGCTCCGCCAGCCAGTGTGTTTGAAGAGCCGGATATGAGTGCGTTTGACTTTGGATTCTAGATGGGGGATGAATACTAATACGCTGAACCATGGAAATCCTACACTCCCCACCGAAACCACCAGGTCTATTACACCAATGTGACTAACCATCTCTCATTTTCCATTTTCCTGTTCCTATCTACAGTAAGTAGTACCTTTGGACACTCCTGTGTCGGCTCCAATCCATAAATGCATGTATAGCCCTAAATTACTAGCCCAGATTCAAATAAATTTCCCAATGGCGGTATCAATCGTCCCCACGACTCTCCTACCGTTATGATCATTCCCAATATGAAGAACGCCAGCACTCTCGACACCACCATACCTCTTACCGTTTTGAATATCACCGAAAAGGTGACCGCAAACATGAACTCTACAGATTCGTGCCAGATAACCACGAACTCGTCCTCCTTTACGCGTACTCCCAGCACCATCTGAACCATTCGTGCCAACAATCCGGTTGGTGTCACCCAACAGATGCCATCCACAACTACCTTTTCCAACATCGCTATGAACTTGTGTCGAACGTGGATTAGCTCAAAGTACTCGAATCGCCTCACAGCGAGCCAATCCTGATTGGATTCGAGATAGACAGAACATGCCGAAGGATTGATTTTGCAGAACGATCTGGAGAGGACCACCACCTTGAAGTTCTTGTGGAAATGCTCCGAGGTGGTGGGATTCACCACGTAAGGAATCACCACCACAGACGCGACGATAGGGACGACAAAGAAGAGGAAGTATTGCACATTTTCCTTAATCTTGATAGCAGTCGATTTGTCTCGCGGCATGATCGGCCATTGAACAACAAACACCATGGTTGAAGCTTGGATCGTGTCGTATCGTGAAAGATAAGAAAAGGGTATATATGATTGCGGGTATGACGGGAGCAAAAAATGATTTCCTAAACCCTACCCGGGACTCGAACCCGGAGTCTCCCGCTTAGGAGGCGGATGCCTTAACCGTTTGGCCAGCAGGGCGAACTTGTACAAATTTTAGCATTGTAAGTCGGCGCGCATGTGACGTAAGAAAGATTTTGCCATTTCAAATATCCATTTTTGAGGCCTATAGCCCATCTGAGATGATTTGAATGTTTTTCACCCATTAAAATGAGCGTATACCATCATAAAGAGGGCTCCTGAAGTCAAATATCCACTTTTGGGATATATAAACCAGACTGCTATAATATAGGCAACCTTAGCAAAATCGTAGACAGCCAAAGCTCCTACCAATGAAAATATTATCTAAGATGAGCTGCTTCTACAAGGTGCCTTTTGTTGCGCACCAAGTTGCAAAAATCATCAAAAAACGAAATTAAATTTAAGAATTAAATTATAACGGTTTGACCATAATGGTGTATTACCCATTGCAATAAGGAGAATGGAGGTTACGGAGTGCTCGACATCGACTTGCAACTCAAANCCAGAAGGGCTTTATACATATACAACACCCTCACCGACACTAAGCACATACACTATGCTATCCTCAGAGGAAAATTACAGAGTATCACCCCGGGTAGNCACGGATGGTTTTGCTTCCTCATGGGAGACAACTATTCCAGAACATTCAGGGTGAAAGAACTCTGTCAACACGTAGATCTCACGGAAGCGGAAAGAGAATACTTGAAGGCATGGTTCTCGTTGATCACCATACGCGGGGACGTCCAAGCGTTCCCAGAGATGTG